AGGGGGCGGGATATCCAGCGTTTCCTGAAATCGCATGTCCGTGCTAAAACATGCGCCAAAGTAGTCACTTGTCACTTGAAAATTACCATCGTTTTATTCTTGCGCATGTTTATTGGGTATTACACACTCTTTGACCAGACTATAGACTTTTGCTTTGGAGCCCTTTCCAGAAAAGTCCTTTCATTTTCTTGAAATTTTGGACCTCTCTTCCCCCAACACTTGACCTGATCTGGCCCTGTGTACATCTTAAGTAGTAGTTTTGGTTTGTACGTAAACCTAAAATATGATTTGCATATAGATATGAAGATCGGTAAAATGTAAGCCTAAATTGTGTTTAGTGTACACATCTGAAGTAATAGTATGTATTTAACTTAACGTTATAGTTAAGATTTAGACCTTAAGTTAAGATTGGTTTGTATACTTAGGTATGTAAACCTAGTTGTATTGTAAATAGTGTTTATTGCGGACAAGATACAACGTTTCCTCCGCTTTTTGCTTTTTTAAATGCTTGACTTTATTGTCTCCGGCCAAATTATTTATTGCAATGTATTTCAAAGGATATGTATAACGTTCCTTAATTACAACGTTGAATTGATTATTACATTTGATTTGTGTGGTCCGTCGGAGAAAAATAGACACCATGTTTTTATCAGCCAGAAAAACAACTGCGGTAACTTAATAACAAAAACATAACATCAAAGCTGTTGGGTAACAAAAGCGTGATAATCACGCTTCAACGCATTTATACGTCACTGGTATTATTATTTCAAAATAATAATATTGTCAAAGGTTATGCGAAAAAGGGGTAAGTAAACTTGCATTCAATAGGTTTGACGATGATATTATGATGATAATGTAATCACGATGATTTATTTATTTATTTATTTATTTATTATTATTATTATTATTATTATTATTATTATTATTATTATTATTATTAATTATTATTATTATTATTATTATTATTATTATTATTATTATTATTATTATTATTATTATTATTATTATTATTATTATTATTATTATTATTATTATTATTGTTGCTGTAGTTGCTGCTGCTGTCGTTGCCTTGTCTTATTTAGTTGTTATGCAATAGTTATTGACGTTGTTATTATAATTGTCATGTTCTTGTTACAATAGTGCACATTTCCTCTCTATTTTATTACCATCCTTTAAGTAATAGTGTATAATGTGCTAAGAAATATCAAATTAAGTAATATCAATTCAGTTATGATAATACCAAAACTATCAAGGGAAAGTACTCTGATTTTAAAAATTTTCCTCTTAAGTTTTAAATTTCAGTAGAACATTTCTACACGTACAGACGTTAATTCTAAATTTGTCTTCAAGACTCGTACAAAGAACAATGCTTAAGAGAAAACATTGTTTTTGAGAGATGAAGCTATTCTTCTAGAGAACATAGTAATAAACAGTTGGCTAAAGACGAAATTCATCATACTCCTACGCCTTTGCACACACGCTCGTGCTGAGCAGGTGATGGACAAGTTGGATTAAAATAAGATCTCCATTGTCCATTTTGTCATCTCTCTCTCTCTCTCTTTCTCTCTCTCTCTCTCTCTCTCTCTCTCTCTCTCTCTCTCTCTCTCTCTCTCTCTCTCTCTCTCTCTCTCTCTCTCTCTCTCTCTCTCTCTCTCTCTCTCTCTCTCTCTCTCTCTCTCTCTCTCTCTCTCTCTCTCTCTCTCTCTCTCTCTCCATTAAATCAATAGTCGCCGTCGTATAACAAGATGAGAGATCGGGTATGTTTTCTTCTACTGATCAATCAGTTCCACGTTTTCTTCTATTTTATTGATTTAAAGAAACTAACAGAACTTTTTAAACAACTAAACAAATAAAATTTTGTAGGAATGTCCTTTTTCCTTTTCTTAATTTAAATAAATCTGTGTTAGACACTGAAAGGTCAAATTTAGGGAATGAATTGTAAAATGATGAACTAGTTTAGAGTGGGGCACTTTCGTTCGATTTTTTGTTCGCTCCATTTGTGATGTGAATTCAGTGAGGGACTTAATGATACTGTAACATCTAAAATCATCTGCGACGTTTGTGGGAATGCGGTTTATAAAACAAACTTCCAAACTTTATTTGAAGTAGTTTATTTATTTTTTTTGTTCTTTATGGTTCATTTCTGTATAACTTGTTTAAATATTTTGAACATTTCATATTTTATCATCATGTACCTCAAAATTAATTATATCTATTTATAAGAGTTGTACACTCTTAAAGCTTTTGTAAAATTAGTCTTTTTACATTTCTGGAACTGTACTTTTAATTAGAACCTAATATAGTAGGTGAGGAAATATAGTCAGAATTTTTCCATCTTTTCAGCATGATTTTATTTTTCTTGCTAGTTAAGAGTTACTCAAAGTTTATAACAGTCGACTAATTGGTGTGAGATCAACAACCTATGGCCGGCTATGCCTTTATTCAGTAATTAGATAGTCGAGTCGGCTCGTCGCTTCAAACGGATTTAAATTATTTATGTCGCTAAGAAGACTAGATTTCTACACTCACCATTACGTATAAGAAGATTTGTGCCAAGTGCTGCCGAACATCAAACAAGGCTTACCAGCCAATCGGAATAAGAGAAATTTAAAACTCTACCAGTAGAAGGAACTAATGCCTCAGACTGACGAGGGGGCAATGATATATCTAGCCATACTTGTGTACCATGAATTAGTGTTTCCAGGCGTTTAAAAGAGTTGAGCACTCAAGAAAGTGTCAAAAAGAAATTTGTGGGAAAGAACACTGTGCAAACAAGACTCGTAAACACGGGGAAATTAGCTTTAAGATTCTCTGAAGGATTAACGAACCGAGAAATAAATAAAAACAGCAAATAATTTGCTATCTAAAACAAATAATGAGGTGCGGATGGAATTAATATTAAGAAAAAGATTAGCAGAACTAAGGGAAAAAGAGAAAAAAAGGTACAGACATAAGGGCAGGGTAATTTGAATCTCTATAATACAGCTAGAAGCTTAACAAAGAGAGAGGTATAGGAAAGGGAAAAAAAACCGAAATAAATGCTTTAAGGAATGAAGATAATGAATTAATAACTGATACAAATAGAATAATGGGTAGAATTGAAAATTATTTCAGTAATCTTTATAAAATCCAGAAACTAAATTCTGAGGAAATAGATGAATATTTAAAAGAGGTAAAATGCGAGAAAATAATATCAGAACATAAGGACATATGTGATGGTTTTATTTTCGGGGAAGAAATAACTAGGACTATTAACTCCGTATCCAAATGGAAGACACCAGGAAGATATGGACTCTCTGGGGAATTTTATAAACAGTTCCAACGTGAGTTAGTGTCGATCTTAGAATCTTTATATAACAATATTTTGCTTAAAACTGACAAATGATACCATGCATGAGAGAAGGAATAATATTACTAATTTATAAAGGGAAAAGGGGTATAGAAAACTTTAAAAAAAAACAACCTGGAAGCCCATCTCCCTTCTGGAAATCGATTATATAATTTTAAGTAAGATATTAGCAAACAAAATAAAAATAGGCATGAATACAATAATAAACAAAAACCAAACCCGTGGTACATAAGGAAATGATATGCAAAATAACATATTAAATATAAAAACCATAATCGATTTCATAAAAGAAACGGGACAAAAAGGCGCCCTCTATGGTACTTCTAGATCAAGAAAAAGCTTTTGATATAATTGGACAAAAATATGTACAAAATGTACTGGCAAAATTTGGTTTTGGAAATAATTTCCAAAGATGGACTTAAGATGTAAGTGTGTGAGTACAGGTGAATTGAACTAATACGGAAATTTTGCAATACAGAGATCAGTGAGACAAGGATGTCCACTATCTATGCTATTATACGTAATAGCGATCAAAATACTGAGTAGAAAAAAGAAGCGATAAAAATACTGAGTATAAAAAAGAACAAATAAACTAATTGAAGGAATTAAGCTACCGAACTTAAGAGAAGAAATTAAAATAATCCAGCATGCGGATGATTGTACAAACTTTTTAAAATACATATATTCTTTTAAACACCTAGAAAAAGAATATGAAAAGTTTGGTAAAGCTTCAGGGTCATAGATAAACCAGGACAACACGGAAATTTTAAAGATAGGAATCTGGCGAGGAAACCACCCCGGTTTCCCCGCTCAGTTAATCTAAGACAATGTCAATGCTCTAGGTATATATTTTGGAAAAAAATGAAGAACAGGAAAACTTGAATACTATCAAAAAGACAAAAAGGATCGTACCGAAACCTGGGCACAAACGCAACTAACTTTAATGGAGCGAGCTCAAGTAGCTAAAACGTATTTATACTCAAATGTCAATTACATACTAAAACCGTTAGACTTAAAACAAGCAACACTAAAAAAAATTCGATAAGGATATAATAGATTATATATGGGTTTTTTAAACTACATTATGTAGAAAAGATACATTATACCGGAAAAAAGTAAGAGGGGATTAGCGCTACCTAGCATAGTATGGAAACAGAAAGCAAATATTTAAAATCGTTTTGTTAAGCTTAAAGCAAATCCCAATATGCCGTGGGAAGCGTTATATATCTACTGGTTTGGGTTTTATATTAGTATTAAAAATGATTTTTTTAGAAATAACGCATTAAGTAAAACTCTTTGTATCAAGAGAAAATATATGTTAAAGATTTGATTGCAAAATTTAGAAATAAAAAAGAAATAAGAGAAGCAGATAAAAATATTTATAAAATAATAAGAAACTTCTATACAATGAACACACAATGTAAAGTTGAAAGAGAAAATTAGGGAATTAATTGGGGTAACACTTAGAACAATTGGACCAATATAAAATTGCCTACATTATAAAGCATAATAATTGTGGCTGACAGGAGAAGTAGTACAAAGGATGAATATGATTAAAGTTATTCAAAAATGCCATCTTTTTATTTAAAAAAAAAACAAATTTTACGAAAAAACATGTTATAACGGAATGTTATATGATAAAAACAGAAAGAGCTCTGGTTGCCTAGTGGATAGAGCGTACGCCTCAGATGCAGGAGGTCGTGGGTTCGATCCCCGGTCGAGTCATACCAAAGACATACAAAAATGATACTAACAGCTGCCTTGCTTGACCCTCAGCATTAGGTGGTTAGTGTTAGGACTGGTCGGCCTGGTGTCAGGAAAATGCGATTGGGTCGGACATCATGCTACATGTCTGCGGCATGATGCCCCAGTGCTAGACATCACTATAAACTGCCACACTGCAGACATCGTAGCGATATGACTGAATTTTTTTTAAAGCTACGTTAAAAGTCATAAACACCAAAGAGACAAAATTATTAATAAACTTTATATCACAATAATATTCTTTTATATTTAGATATGAAATTGGAAAAAGACCCTTTTTGAGGTTATTAATTTTATAGTAGATACAATGAAACAATGTGGACAAATTATAGTATTAAGTTAAAAAGCGCATAACATATGTCCCCAAAATTAGAATACTTTAGTGTATTTTTAAAAATTATTAAATTACTAATCATCCCTTATGAATCTTAGATAAGTAATCTAATAAAGTAACATGTACTGTACAGTTATTTGGTAGTTAGGAAGGGACAGGCAACATACACATGTATAAAGTAAGATACAGAAATGCTACCAGGCGATACCACAAGGATACCATGAGAAAGGGAATAACAACATTTTGGCATTATTGAATTTTATATTTGACATTTTGAAATATTATATTTGGGAAATAATTATTTATGGAGAGTATGGTGTAAGGCCTGGTCATCGACAAGAGAAGTAAGTTTAATAAATAAAGACTCACGGATCCTTGCAAACCAGCTTTATAACCAGCCACTAATATTCAAAATTATATATGAGAAATGACACACAAAATAGTTATCACTAAAACACTAGGTTTTCATTTATCTCATAAATAACTTGCATCATTTCTCATACGAAATTCAAAAATTAAAATTGAATAAAGTAATTTTAATAACTGAATATATTCTAATAACAACTCGTAAATAATTTGGTTTTAAGAAACCGTCTTTACACGAAAACATATATAGCACACCTACAATATAGCAATACACATATGGCATACACCGGACGTAGGCGATCCCTTAGGCAAGGGTTACCTGACATAAAAGGGATGTACCTTCTCAATCTGATGATTAAAATCGAAAAGGTACGCCATCCTTTAGAGAAATACCACACTTAAAATTGGGTTTTCAAAATTCTATTATAAAAATAATACATCTGCAACACATCGGGAGTATACATAAACACATAAAAACCTGTCTGGTGTCCCCCCCCCCCAAAAAAGAACTAAAACGGGGAGAGGAAATGAACTAGGAAAGTAATAGAAACCTTCCACAGGTAAGATATATCTCAGCAGGATATTTGTGTTGGTTTTGTAGTTTGGAATTTAATAGATTGTGTATTATAACGTATAGCTAATTTACTAGGACATGAAACATAACATATCGTATAATTATTAGAGCATATTACATTGTAGGGTATAGTTGACTATTAAAAAAATTGAATTGGGATGTGTATTTGCATTCATCGTTATGTAGACTAAGAATTATGTGAAATATACGGAGTGGATTTACATACATACATACATACATACATACATACATACATACATACATACATACATACATACATACATACATACATACATACATACATACATACATACATACATACATACATACATACATACATACATACATACATACATACATACATACATACATACATACACATACACACACACACATACACACATACATACATACATACATACATACATACATACATACATACATACATACATACATACATACATACATACATACATACATACATACATACATACATACATACATACATACGCATTTATATGTATCATTCTATAATTCGTACGATGCAGGCAATGTGAATGATTGCCGTAACAAAGGTAGATTGCTGTGTCAGAATATAACATTAGACTGTGCGCGTGTGGCAAAACTTCGTAAGTAATATTATTTTTATGCAGGGCAAGGCATGTTTGGAATGAGAGACATTGGCATGTGTGAAGGGCCACGTAAAGCGTTCGCCAATTGTCTGCGGAGTAGTCCGTGAAAGAGTTTTAGATTACGAAGATTAGTATAGGGAGAACAACACTTAAATTTCTGCAGGAGGTTCATAGGGTACACGGAGGGAGACGGCACTGAACTCCCAAGAGATGGAAGGAGAAAGTACAAGAATTTGTACAGAAGGAATGCTGAAGGAAGAGTACAAGGAATTGCACAGGAAGAATGCAGGAGAAAAGAAGACAGGAGAATATAAGAAGATACGAATACAGATGAGAACAAGGGACTACTCACTGAAAAGAGACCTTCTCAAATTAGGACGTTAACATACATATGTATGTATGTATGTATGTATGTATGTATGTATGTATGTATGTATGTATGTATGTATGTATGTATGTATGTATGTATGTATGTATGTATGTATGTATGTATGTATGTATGTATGTATGTATGTATGTATGTATGTATGTATGTATGTATGTATGTATGTATGTATGTATGTATGTATGTATGTATAAATGGCATTTTTTACAGGTTAATTAATGTGTTAGTTTATGAGTGAAGTGTAATTGGAAGATTTATATTTAGAAATTAATTGAATCATTTTATTTACTATTAATATTGATTAAATTATTATATAATTTACCTTAAGGAGCTGATGTATTTAGGCTGTCTGTCGGCATTGCTGACTGGGGCTCGTGAGCATTAAAAAATTAAAGGTCTACTTATTAGTCTTAATACTGAGATGGGAAGTGACAAGTAGTTATGGGGTCCACTATAGCTACAATTGGGCTCGTATGTCAGCAAGAGGAAAATACAATTACGCATCCATTTTGAATGGGGGGAAAAAAACGACTGCATGGGAACAAGGAGGATTTAATGTAAAAACCTTAATAATATTGGGACCTTTATGGATACAAGTTAATATTGTGGGCTAATCTGGGTGTAAGGAAACTTAAATGTGGAGTGCTAAATTTGAATTTTACATCGTGGGATGGAGAGATTTAATTTTTATAAAATTTTGAGTCATTTAGGCGCTTTTTCGGAATTTAAAATTGAGAGCGACGCTGAGACCTTAGAGTATTGTATTGGATTGTTATTCATGCAATTAAAAAAATAATGAAGAAATCATTTAATTTTAATTGTCCTGAACTATTGCTTGCGTTACTGTTATTAATAACGCGTCATTTATGTACTGTGATGTCAATGAAGTTATTATCACGTTGAAACGACTACAGGCTTGAGAACAGTTCAAAATGGCCAGATATGTTCGAGGATGTTTAAATTGACAACTCTACCGACTGAAAAGAATCTGTGTGACCCTGGGGTCAGCCTTATTTTGTGTCGTCATTTTAATTATTTTTCGGTTGAATTTTGGCGGCATAGTATAAAACATTAACACTAGCTGTGTTAAATTTGCTAGGTATAACAAGAAACCATAAAAATAATTCACTGCCTCTTCAATGTTTTTTATTATTACTGGATAACCTTATTTCATATGGCATGGTGTGCTTGCATATTGTACTAACGCGCGCGCTTGTGCGTGTTCTGGAGGAATGGAGTATGTGCAGATGAGGGAATCAGAAACCAAAACGTTACTGTAATAATTTCCTAAAACATAAATTATTCAGATGTGTTTGGGAAATGAATATTTAGCATGCATGCACGATTCTTCATAATGTAAATGCATAACGTAAGTAAGCACTGAGATGTTTTTGTTACTGGACCTTTGGAAAGGGGAGTAGTCTGAAAACACTCGCTTTTACAGTTCACGTACAAATCTCACCTCTGTCAGCGTGAGTACGATTCTCACGCTGTTCGGCCAACATGGGTATGTGAGAAGTTTGGCACTGATTCTTCCCGAGGGTCTTTCTGGTTCTTTCTCCACCAATATGCTAACCGTTATGTATAGTCTATCATATGCTGAAAAAAAAATGGCGTTAAGCCAGCAACTAGAACAATTTGTTGATGTTTGAATATATCGCTCTTACGTAAAAAAAATATCCCAAATAATAAAAATATTTTGATACCTACTTTAATAAGAACTTGTTTACATTGTCAAAGTTTGGGTTGGTCACACGTTTGGAAGGATTATCATCTTAGCAATAAATATATATTCACTGTGCCAACTCTATGGCGAGCGTCAGGTATAATATTGATAATGACAGTTGCGTCACTTGATAAATGTAGGTAAGATTTCCATTAGCCAGAACATAGGCGCGTGATCGTAGCCAGTTGTGTTTGTTTCTGTATAAACTGTGAAGAACTATTTTATAGCTGTATACTGCTAGACACAGTATCGTGCAAAGTAACTAATGTAAAGACTAATCGGAAGATATAGGCACTGTATGCCTTTAAAACAAAATGGTGGGCTTATATTTTATTCACAAAAAATCAATAAACTGATTTGACAGACTCAAATAACAAATCTTTATAATTTTTCTGAAGATGAATATTTTTTTTGTTGATTAGATTGGAAAAAGCTGGTAAACTCAAAATCTGCCAAAAAGATCATTGGGGCTATGTTGTAGAGCACTTTCATTGCGGCTCGTTATAAATGAATTTAAAACAATAGGCAAATGGATATAGGGATTGGAGGAAGGGTGTATGTCAGAATTTAACATTATAATAAGATTCACAGACCTATAATATAAGACGCCGACCTTGAGAGTTGTGAAGTGGGGGTTGGTTGGTAAAAATAAAAATGTCGCCCCTGGTTGATGTTTTGCACACTATTTGAAACTCATCGCTATAGCCTTTTACCGAGGGTATAATTTTATTTGCCCCTGTAGGTAACCTAAACTGTTAAAGAACATGAAAATAGATTTAAAGAAGCAAATAGCGCATCTGAGCAATAGCTATTCTGTCAAGTCATAATAAACTTACGAGAGCATCAAGCCATAGTCATTCGTATGTAAAAAAAAACAACACAAAACATCTGTGCATAAGAAAGTATTCATAAATTCATTAATTCGTTAAATCATTCACTCGTTC